TCTGTACCTGAAGAAACTCATCAAGTAGAAAACCAAGATGATGAAATCTACGAAGCCACAAGTGTTAATGGCAATCATGAAGCCAGCGTTCAAAGTCTCGAGGGAGAATGGAATGAAGTGAGGAACCCATCAAAGCTGCTTCAAGAGAATGACACACTTCTTGTGTGTGACTCAATCATCAAAGATATCAAACCTAGCTTGAAGTCAGCTTCGAATACGATTAGAAAGCAATGCCTCCGTCCGGCAAAGTTGAAGAATGTACATCTAAAGTTGATTTTAAAGCTTACAAATGTAAGAAGGCTGTTGTTATTCACCTTGGTATGAATAACATAACTGACGACTCACCACCACTTAAATGATGAACAGATTTGAAGATGTATTGCCAAAATTGGACTCTTATCATATGGAGGTTGACATTATCGGTGACCTAAATTGTAATGTTGAGGCAACATCACCAGACTGCAGCACAAAAACTACTAGATATCTGTGATAGTTACCAGTATAGCCAATTAATTGATCAGCGAACACGTATAACACAGCCCACATCATCTATTGTTGATTTGTTTTCAACTAATCATCCGTGGAATCTTTTGGACTCTTGAGTCGCCAATATTGGAATCACTGATCCCTGTAGGGTGTATGCAATAAGGAAGATTTGTATCCCCAAATCAAATCCAAAGACTATACATGATGCTAGTATCTTGATATTAACCCCAGTACAAATTGATGCATGAACCATTTATTGTGTCACCCAATAAGAGTGGTCACCACTTATGTTAATTCAGAAGATTCTCGTACTGTGCATTATTTCATAATGTATTAAACTTTCAACTACTTCATACATTTAGTACCTTTACTTCATGCAAATGGGTGGTTGTTTAAACGTTTATTTTAATAAAATGTTTGAAAACTGATTACGATTACAAGATCAAATACAAGGATGTGGAAATGACACAACAAAAATGACTGCCCGCTAAAAGGTGAACGCTTGCAGAAGGAAATCGTTTACTAAGCCCCTGTTACTATACTACCGGGGAAAAAACTAAGACATATGTAGGTATTACAGCCAAAGAATTTAAAGCAAGATGACGAAACTACCAAATGTCATTTACCCATGAAAACAAATTTAATGATACCAAGCTCAGCAGTACCTCTGGCAACTAAAAAAAAAGAAGGTTGACTTTGAAATTTCATGGAAAATAATGGTAAGGTCTAGGGCATACTCAAACCTCACAAAACATTGCAATTCATGTAATACCGATAGAATGTTCATAATGTATCATCCACAAATAGCAACTTTAAACAAGCGCAATGTACTTGCATCTTATTGGAGACATTGAAGAAGTGCATTCTTAAGTATAGTTAATGTACATTAAGCAGCCAATTAAGTGCGAATATGCATTTTTACTTAACGATATCCTCTGCATTCTGTCAAATACCTTAGTGTCTACCCATCTGACGACCTCTGCTGTCATAGCTGTAGAATCACTAGACCGCCTAGCCAATACCATGATAGAGATTGGACAGGATCACCTTCTGGACACGATCTGTTTCGAAAGCATGACAACCTTGAGTGTAAATTGTCTTTCTAAAGGAATATAGCAACAAGAACAACAACAATAATAAGACTTTATTTAGACACGCTGAAAACTATAATTACACAAAGCAATTTTCACGGGGGCCCTGCTGAATTAAAAAGAAAAAAAGGAAAGAAAAAGGCATAATTATAATATTTATTACCTAATACTAATGAAAGGATAAAAATTCATGCCAATTTAAAATATATATATATTTACGAACATAATTTGAATACGATAAAATGTGATCAATAACAGAATCATTAGAGTACAAGAGAGGCGCCTCTATGTAAGAATGAATTATTATGAACATCAGGTATGAGTGAGTATAAAGAGAATCAGACTTCTTTGAGATTGGAGAAGGCCAAACAAGGAAAAACAAAACCAAATTAGATCCTAGGGCTGAGAAAGGTATTTTTGCTGGTTACGACAGATCTAGCCCTACTTTTCTTGTTTATTACCCTGAGAAGTTTGACAGTGTTGATGAAAATGCGGATTTACTACCTGATTCTGTTGAAGCAACAGAACCTGAAATGCCAAAACCTGAAAATGGGCAGGAAAGTATCAGGCGTAACACCACTAGAGATCGTGCTAAGCCAAAGTATCTTGATGACTATATAACTGGGGAGGAACTAGACAATGCAGTTGATGATGCTGCAAATTGCACAGTTGTTTTCTGTTACAGAGTGAGTAAATGTTAGAGAGTCCTACCAAGATGCTATCTCATCCCCAGAGTCCAGTAAGTGGAGAGATGCAATGAATGAAGAATTAGATGCATTATGGGATAATGAAACATTTTAACCCACTCCTTTACCAGAGGGTAGAACCTCTGCGAGGGAAAGTGGGTCTATGCAATAAAATTAGATCCCAATGAGTGATTGCAGTTTTATGGGTTGAAGACATTAAATTGCAGGAGGTAACACAGATGTATTGAAAAAGGCCAAACGGTCTCTTATGATGAGATTCAAAATGAAAGACCTAGGTGTTTTATCATGGATCCTAGGTATCTAGTTCAAGTGTGGAAATGACTATTGAAATGAGCCAAAGTAGGTTTGTTGAAAAGATTATGGAAAGGTTCAACATGTCTGATTGCAGGCCAAAAGCAGTCCCACGCGAATTTGGCGGAAACAAAGCTAGTACAGTCAATGAAAGTGAATTTGAAAACGTAAACCTGTATCGTGAAAATGTTGGAAGTTATTTATCTTATGACTTGCACAAGACCTGATTTGTGTTATGTTGTGACATACCTATCCCAACATCTGTCAAAGCCAATGAAATCACATTATGGGATGGCTAAGCAAGTGCTGAGGTATTTACAGGGTACTTATAACAGATTCTTAAAGTTTGTTCAGGGATCTCAGCTGAAACTAGTGGGATATTGTGCACCAGAAGCACAAGGGAACTCACACCTCAACACTGCAAGAAGCTGGAGAGATGATGAAATCCGTTTCTGGGTACCTTCAAGGCACTGTTCAATCAGTGCAGACATTACTGGGCACCAGCAAGGAGACCAGTGGACCTGAAGGAACTGTTGCAAGCAAGACAATCAGGTCTGTTAACATGATAAATCAGGGACTGGCAAGGTTACAGAGCAACATCGCAAAAATAAATCCAGAACTTACAGTTAAGCCTGAAGCTCTCCTCACCGTGAAAGTCGAGAGCCTCCTAGCAGTTTCCCATTTCAAACATCAAATATGTAAGCAGTTACACTACGCCAGGGATTTTGAGACTACAGCCCTGGAATCAGCAAAAAGAATGACGCAGTGGTCCTCTTTTTACTTCACACACCCAACATCGTATTATCCTGCAACCTCGACACAAATTCACTTTCAAGATTTTCCAAGGATGACCCAACAAAACCTGCCTGTCATGAGTTCAGCTAACCAAGATCTGATGAGAAACTGGGCAAACACACACAGTAACTGTATTAGACAATGCACCATCCGACAAGAAACCACCAAGTATAAGGCTGGCACTCTTCCTCTGAACATGTATCAGACTGCTATCCACCGGGGAGAATGGCTAGAGTTTGCACCAGTTGAAAGAGTAGAACCTGAATTTTTAAAGGAAGAGCGAAGAGAAGGCGCGCCTACATCGGGGGGACCCAGGAGACGATCAGCTCTCCGAATATGATGACAACTCCTCTGACAACGACTCTGATAATTTTGGAGTGGAGGAAGATGGTGCCACTCGTGATATGCAGAACGAGGAACTCGGTTGCCTTTTTGCATCACGCAGAATGCGACGTGGAGGAATAGTGAAAAAAACAAACAAGGCTTTGCTATTGGACGTAATTTTTCAAAATGAAACGGTAACTTTTGTTTAAGGAAAAACATTCTCCTTTTTTTCCATGAAGCGTGAAATGCCTATTTTTTTTTCGTGAAATGTTAAAGGACCGGTTTATTTTTCGTGAAACGTGATCTAGACCCCCCCCTTCCTTTACACCCTGCTGAGTGGCATCTCCAAAGCTAATGCTGTCTATTTTTGGCTGGGGATGGCAGACTCAACAAATGGAAGACAAGGTGATTAATATGGTTGAGATCAAGTCGTCAAGAAATTTATGTGTTACAATTTTGTGCCTCAGCATTTTGTATTACATTAACTTCACTTCTATCTCTGTTTGCAATTGTATTTACCAAGTGAAAAATAGAACAAATAACTTTTCAGATTGTAAGTACATAACTTTATGTTAAATAAGACATGTAAAACTGTACATGTATGGCTGCCATTTTTAGTTAAAGAGAGATGATCGAAGCAGGGGTTTTTGTGTCTTATCTAGGGTACAACATATAATCTTTTGTTGAGGAATTTTTCTAATCTCACCTGCGAGGCAATCCATAAGAACTGGATTCAGAGGTGCTGTTGAGGGGACAACAACAAACACCTCACAATCCTTATTGTGGTCCCCAAATTTTTGTTTCATTGCAAAGAAATACAAAATCGTCCATATCAATGATACATGTATCATGTAGTGATAAACTTCCAAATTATCTACAAACTAATAATGGTCATTGCCTATCACAGTGCATATTAAGTAATCAAGTCTTTGGTCAAGTAAGCGTTTGATCACGTTGAAGAAATCTGTTATTATTTCTTTTTTTCATTTATATAAAATCAATTATTTTAGTGCACAGAAACTGTAGACAAAAGCGATGGATTGTCTTACTGATCAAAAGCTTGCACCTTCAAAAAATATACATTATAAAGAATATAGGTAAATTGGAAACTAGTCAAAGGGCAACCAGGTGACGTGGCATCTTGATTAATGTAATAAATCACTACATGTATATAAATTAATTGACATTTTGAACTGTTTTCTTCACAGACCATGACTAGCTTATAATATTTTCTTTAACTAAACAGCATAGTTTACACGTCATTTTAATTTCTTCCAAAACAACTTATTACATAAATATCAGGAAATGTAATTTCACGACCACAGTGAATTAACAAGAGAATCCAGTAAAGAAAGGATGATAAGGATTGTAAGTCAGTTTCCTTTATGCAATTACAGGGCAGATATCAGAGGAATGACAGAAGCAATAGAGAGGGGAGAGGCAGCACTGGTCTCATTAAGATCTGACCGGTTTGTTGATGATCATTGTTAGTGTCGTTATTATTATTATTATTGTTCTAATTATCTGTGACAGTGTCAAAGGCTCAAGTTTACAAACATACATGTACATCTAGTAAGAAGATGTAATGGGTGGTACAGCTATAGTCACTGGAGAAGTTTGATTCCATTTACAACCCAGAGTTAATGATATTTGTCAAGAGTAATTTTTATCTCATCCTTATGACAGCTGTGACAGCGAATATCAGAGGCGAGACCTTCTCCTGCAACACAAGAAGGAACTGGACGAATCGATGAGAAGGGACAGAGAATAAGGTTAATTCAATGAAATAGCTTCTTTTGAAATTTTTATCACCTCTTAGTTCCAATTGGAGCATGAATACATATGGTAATCAGTTCTTCAGCTATATAATTGCACAAACTATTGTTATGTTTACCTATTGTTTAGTCTCATATAACAGGGACCTTAAGCAAGGTCGACGAGAAGCCCTGAGAACAACAACCGCAAGTGAAAATACCACTTAGCGCACTACTGCGCATGCTTCACTCATAATCCACGTGAAGTTCAGAAAGTGAAAACGCCATCTTTGCCAACCAGGCCAAACATCGTGAGAACGTGAGTATAAATTTATGTATTTTCATCTTGTTTAGGAAGAGAATTTATGTTTGGCTTTTGAAATGAAAGTTAGATATTCCTTAGTTTCTAATCTTTGCACAGTATTGAATCTTACTATGATTTTGAAACATGAAAACTTTGTAAACAGTCAAAAATTCGGGCTTTGTGGGATTTACATCTTGTCAGCAAAACATTCAAGTTACGAAGATGAAATCGAGAACTACCAAAGTGATTACTTGTTTTGTTTTATTTACCTATATGCAATCTTTTACAATTGTTTTAACTTGAGCAGTAAATTTTCATGCCGTTAAGGTCATTTTAGAGTCTACTTTTCCGAAAAATTAACTTACATTCTGATGTGAATTTCCTTAGAATGGAGTGGACAGAACTGCATGACTTGAATCTTTGCGAAGACGTTTTAGTTGTTGAACCTTGGAAACATCCTTACCCTAGTAAGGACAGAGGAGATTCATGGAACGAAATAGCAAACAATTTAAATGCCTCTGGTTATCCTACGTTTAAAGTATCAAAGAGAAGTGTCAGAGACAGGTTGACATTACTTCAACAAAAATTCCAAAGCGAAAATGAGAATGAAGGAAGCTGCCTCTGGAATA